CCCACCTGCTGCCAGCAGTGAGAAAATCCCTGAGCATTCCCTTTGAGGTCAGCCCAGGAAAAATAATTTTACAAGTGCCACATTGTATGCTCACATCTCCTGGGTAGACCAATGCTCCTTTCCAAACCCAGTCTGCTTTGTAGTATATTGCTGATATACTACAAAGCAGGAGTTGTGTGGAGCTGGGCTGGTGCTATACTTTACCGATGCACCAATATATAAATCCATCCTATGGTTTACCTTGTTCCTGTGTGATACAGGCATGATTCCTTTTTGGGCAATTTTGAATGCAAGTTTAGCGTGTTTTCTTCAAGTACTACATTTATTGCAAGATTCTGTTTGTTCCTAGCATCCTTTCTGTGTTGGATTCTTGTTGTTACTTGGCTCTGTGAACTTCATTTCCTCTGCTGCTTTCACACTATATGGCTATGTCCCATCTACCCCCTTGTTCTACTCTTCTTATAAACAGAAGTGTCAAAGGGACAGTTAGTAACCGAGAACAAAAAGTGATCTTTTGAGCCATAGGTACTGTAATGAGTATTATTTAAAAATTGGCAGGTGAGACTTTACTTTTTGTATCAAGAGTGTTTTTTTTTTTTTTTTTTTTTTTTGCAATTTACAACAGTTTCTAGACTTGAAACAATGCAGGCATTGATGTAAGCTTTCTCTTTGAAGGTAGGCTGCCTGAGAAGATATAATGCATTTACCCCATGAGTATATGCTAACATTTCATTGTATAGCAGGTAGAGGGCATGCAGCTGGACCAGTTTTTGATGGTGGTAGAAAACCAAAAGTGAGCAGGTTTGCTTGCAGTGCTTTGTATGGGCAGACTAGACATAGCAAAAAGTTGTGGTGGGGTTAGGGATGAGAGAAATTCCAAGTGAATCTGAGGTTATCCCAGATGTGAACTGATTCCCTGTCAGCCAGACAGTGCCAGGAGGGCTCAGGTGATGGATCATCTTGGGCTTTCCCATCAAGTTTCAGGATTGCTCAGCTTTGTCATCATCTGAGGTGTCTTGGCCACATACATTTGAAATATCCCATGTGGGACTTTTAGAGAATTCTTTGGAAGAGGCAGCCATGTGACACTGATGTTCACCCATTTTTTTTTTCTATATTTATACAGACTCTACTTCAGTGGGTTCCTGAGCTTGTAAATCCCAGGGCAAAGGATAATAAAGAAATCATATCTCAGCTGTAACCAAGTGCACTAGGGTGCCTGTTCACTTGTCAGAACATAGGTGAAGATCTTTCCATGGAAATTTCTTAGTAGATTAGATACTCACAGCACATATTTCTGCCAGAAAACTTGTAATGGTATGACTTTGGGTTTAAATAAAAGATTGATGAATTTGCTGACTAAGCAACAGGTAATTTTATGTAACATTTTCTTAGTTTCATATGACATCAACTGGAAGGAGTTTTTAAGGGAGTGGGAAGGCATCTCATTTCCTTCTGCAGGCTGGGGCTAGCTGGGCATCTACTGGGGGGTGGTAAACAGTTGCTTGTGCATCACTTAATGTATACATATAGTCATATCTATTTGCCTTTTCTCTTATCTTAGTAAATAGTTTTACCTAAACCCATAAGTTCTACTTTGCTTTTTTTAATTATTATTATTCTCTCCTCCATCCCACTGGGAAGAGGGGGAGCGAGCAAATGTCCATGTAGTGCTAAGCCACCTGCCAAGTTAAACCAGAACAGTCAGTTTGGCACCCAGCTTGGGGCTTGATGGGTTGAAACAACACCAGATTCTGTTAACACAGGGTGTTATGCTAGTTTGATAATTGTTGGTCTTGAAATTGAGGTTGATTTTTCCCCTTGCTTCTCCTATTTATGGAGTTCTTTGAGAGTTTTCACATTGAACTATAGTGAATAGCACCTTGCTTGCTGTCTGTTTTTCCTCCTGCGTTGTTTATTATCTCTGGGAGTTGGATTAAAGCTTTTATATTGCTATGCTTGTGACACTGACTTACTTTATGATAAAATTGGCAGCCAAGAAATACACATTTTGTGTGTATCTGACATTGTAGTCATCTTTGAGTTTTGGAAGCTATATTGTTGATGATATTAGTAATTATACTCTGCTTCATGTCCCTGGGGAGCCCGACTATGGAGGAGATAGGGGAGAACACTTTCCAGCTGTTCTTCATCCTCTCTTTCACTTTTCTTTTTTATTCCCTAGAACTTGAGTGCTAGTTACAACACTCTTGAGAATTCAAACCAGCATGCTTCTACAGCTATGTGTCATGAATGTGTTTCAGGTTATGTTTAAGATTAAACAATTATCTAAGAGTAGCATCCAGTGATCTGCCCTGAGTCAGGAATAGAGCGGCAGAGAGTGTGGAAAACTATGGGCAGGTGTCTAGGGCAGTGAGCACCCCCAGTGGTTTGGAACTTCACCTCTGAACAACTGCAGAATCCTGAAAAACTAATAGAATATTTGGAAAGGTCTGCTGTCACCCTGGCAATCCTAAAGAAGCACAGATCATTGCAGAGTGCTGGGGCCTGGCCTATGCCTAGCAAGCTCTGATCAACACTATTCAGCATCCTCAAGGGGAAGAAAATATTTCAGGACCTAATGACAATATGTCAGGCTGTATGGATGCTCCAATTCCCAGGATGGGCCCTGCGGCTGCTCTAACACTTCTCATGTGCCTAGGAGGTGCCACGACCTTCACAACCACTCCTGTGGTCACTCCAATCTCTCTGACAAGTCCCAGACTGAGTGCCAAATTGATTGTTGTGGTTTAATCTGACAGATGGCTCAGCTCCATGCGGTCATTTTCCCACTCTCCATTACAGTGGGATGGGAGAGAAAATAATATTTTAACAGAAAAAAACACCAAAGTGGAACTTGTAGGTTGAGATAAAATCATTTACTAAGATAAAGAAAAGGAAAATAGTTGACTATATATATATATACGTATATATAAATGTATGTAACAAGTAATGTACAAGCAATTGCTCATTACCTCCTGGCCTATGCCTCTAGAGCAGCAGAAGAGAGCAAGATGAACTCTCATTTGCTTCAAAACTCCTTCTGCATGATGTCATATGGTATGGAACAGCCCTTTGTTCAGTTTAAGTAAGCTGTCCTAATCTTGTTCCCTCCCAGCTCCTTGGGCCCTCTGCTGTGAGTGGCCTTGGCTTTATACTGTATATATACAGTACTGCTTAAGAGGCAACAAAGGCAACATCAGTGTGATATCAACACTGTTTTCTCCTCAAACTAAAACATATCAGCATATCAGACATTCCGAAGAAAACAATTCTGTCCCAGTTGAAACTAAGATAGTCTGGAGAACAAGTCTTATGAGAAGTGACTGAGGGAACTGGGATTGTTCAGTCTGGAGAAGAGGAGGTTCAGGGGAGACCTCATTGCTCTTTATGACTACCTGAAGGGATGCTGTAATGATGTGTGGGGTTGGCCTCTTTTCCCAGGTGAGGAAACTAGTGGCAGGATGAGAGGTGATGGCCTTAATTTGCACTATGATCTTTTGAGGCTCACTGCAGCAGTAACTGTGGAAGATTTAGATATCAGTGATAGGAAGTGATACAGGAAAAATTGAAATTGTAGGTACAGTCTGCGGTCTTCAAGGGGACTAGTTACGTCTGTGCTTCTGGGTTGTTTCCTCAAAATGGGAGAGTTTGGCTTCCTTATAAAGTGGGCATTTTTAGTTTGATCTTCAGATTTCTGCAGTTGATATAAGTACATTTTCAAGGACAGATTAAAGAAAATCCTGTCCAGGGACTCAAGTATATTTACTAGTACAAAAACTTATAGCTTTGGAAAAAAGGGGCTTTATGAAAGAGAGACAGACATCAGAGTGTATAATGATATTTCCGTTCTGTGTGTTGGGATGTAAAAAAGATTTCTAGTGCTTTGATTCCCGCTCTCCCATTTCAGTATGTACTGGTTCGTTAGTAACTAGCATAAATGTTATTCCTTGTCTAGAAGATAAATATATTCCTGAGAACAGGGGTGTCCAGCCTTTTGGCTTCCCTGGTCTGCACTGGGTGAAGAAGAATTGTCTTGGGGTAGGTCACACCAAAAGTAGTGCCTCCTTTTACTTCCACGGAAATAACAACAGCTACAAAGAACACAATTACCCTATTTGGTAGAGCACATTATCAGCTACTTGTCAACACAGTCACCACTATTATCTATGCGTTTTTGCAGCAGTGAACAAGAGCATGCTTGCCTCACTCATAAACATCTGCACTAGTGGAGGTGACCTGCTGTTGCTACTGCCAAAACACATCATCCACTGACTCACTGTGCTTACATCTGCTGTTTGGTCTCCAGAAACGTTCAGCAAGTGTCAACAAATGTCAATGGTCACATTTTTTTCTGCATGGAGTAACTTGATTACACATCACTGCTTCATATGCACTTCCATGTCAGACTCCATTTTGTCAGACTGTCTCTTTGTTACTATCTGTCACACGGCAGCAACACTTAACAGAATACTGGTGAAAATGGTCAGTCTCTACTTTCATGCCACCAACATCTGCCTCTGACTTAGTGCGCCAACATATTACAATGGGAGGCATTACTTTCAGAGCAGCCCTTGTATATAATGTAGTTAACGTAGATAAGCAACAAAACTTACTTTTTATTTTTGTTAAAACATAAAAAGAAAGTGAGCAATGAAGACGTGAAACTAGCAGGCTATTTGATCTTGTTTTTGTCAACCTAACGTGTCAATGTCTGGTTCGTGGAAGTGGATGCAATTCTGAGTGAGTTCTCAAGGTGCTCCTCAGAGAATTTTGATGAAATTTTCCTCTTCCTGTACTTCACCCTTGAAAACAGTTGTTCATAAATGTAGCTACTGCCAAAAGCAATGACACGAATAAGGTGTGATTGTGAATTAAGGGATGTTTTTCTCTGGTAAGATCGGTCTTATGAAAATCTGGTGAAGAGACACGATCAAATCTTTTGGTTGAATATCTGATTGCAACTCTATACATTTCATTTCAGAAAATGTATTTATATTAACTGAAATGGAGTTGCAAATACACAAAAAGCCAAGATTTTTTCATCAATCTCGAAAGCTATTCTCAGATTTGTATCAAAATACGCGAGGTGTCACGCAGTGGGGAAAAGCCACCCCCGTAAATGGTGTGGAGCAGGAGGTGGGTCGCAGGGAGGTGTGAGAACCATCTCTGTGAAATTACTCATTGCATTTCTGATGCAAAGGAAACGCTATAAAGATTTGCCAGCATTTTTTTTTTTTCTTCTTTTTTTGCTTTTCAGGAGAGCAAAAATAATCAATGCCACATCCCTCTTAGTAAAATCCAATTTTGGAGTTGTGCTAAGACATTGGGTTCCTGTTTATTTCATCCACCTGGTTGTACTGTGAGTTGCTGATTAGAAAACCCCTCCTGTGGGCATATTTCCATTTGGATACTCATCTGTATAAGACAACTATGGATTTTCAACTTGTGTTTCTAAAAATGTATGGCAAACAGGATTGCATTTCCAAATGAGTAGAGAACCCATTATTTATGTTTCTGTGCTTGCTTAATTTTACTAGCAAAAGGATTTCTTTGCTTGTTTGTTTTACACTTTAGAATGTGCAGTTGACGTACAATTCAAGTGGATGTGTTAACTTCTCCAGCTCTTTCATGTCAGCACTTTCACATCAACTTTAAAGAAGCCAAAGGAAAAAAAAAAAAGCTATCCTCACTCTTTCCTGTAGTTTCCAGCTTAAAGGAGTAGCATAGGCAGACCTGTGGTAAATCTGTATGGCTCACCCATTTAAAGGATAGATAAAAAATAATTTAAAACATAACATTCTCCAGATTTTCCTCTCCAGTGTTTTCCTTTCAGATGTGTTCTTTAATAAAACTGAAACTTGTGTTCAGATGAACATTTTGAATACTCTGTTGAGTCAAAAAATAGGTTTAAGCCTGCATATATCGACATTAAAACTCTTATATAAGTGTGATTGAATGAAGATATCTAACTCATCTTTCTCTTTTTTTGTCCCACTAGTTAACGGTCTAATGAGGCTTGGATTAGCAGGTGAGCTTTACTTCTAAAATCCAGACTAACAAATTTCTGTTTTGTTAATGCCAGCCATTTGAGAAGCACTTTCATTCTAT